TTGTTTCCATCTCTTTGCTATAGTGAATTGTCGTGTGATGAACATGGGTGTGCATATGTCTGTTGGTGTCCTGTCTCTCACCTCTTTAGGATATACTCCTAGTAACTGGATTGCTGGGTCAAATGGTGTACATTCTGCTGGGTATATTTTCATCAAAACAATAATAATTTAAAAAGCTGCTAAGAGAAAAAAAACAAGCTGTTTCTTGGGCTAGCCTGGTTTTATGTCATGGTTTCTAATAAACACAATGTGTTGGCTTTGCCAGCGGCTATGGATTGAAGTGTGTCCTCGAACAACTCATGCTGAAGTCCTAAGCCCTGTGCCTATCAATAGGACCCTGTTTAGAACTAGGCTGTTTCTTTTGTTATGCTAATGAGGGAATATCTTATTGTGACGTCATACCTCCTAGGTATAGGATGGGTCCGGAAGTTACTCCCTTCTGCGTGTTGTCTTTTAAAAAGAGTGGGATGAACACAGACACATACAAACAGGTGGAGACGCCACATGAAGATGGGAGCATATGAGTCTGCAAGCCTAGGAATGGGAAGGATCGCTGGCAGCTGCTAGGAGAGAGAGCTCTGGTGGTGCAGTGCCTAAGGCACTTGACTGCTAACCAGAAGGCTCGCAGTTCAAACCCACCAGCCACTCCTCAGAAGGAAGGTTGGGCAATCTACTTTCGTAGAGCTACCACCTCGGAAACCTATGGAGGGGTCACTATCAGTCAGACCTAACCTGACGGCAGTGAGTTTGGTTTGTTTTTGGACTAGAAGCAGAAAGAAACAAAGACCTTCCCTAGAGCTCCTGTCCTGAGTTTGCACTTCTAGCCTCCATAACCCTGAGGAAATCAATTGCTGTTCTTTAAAGTCACTGACTTTTTGGAGTTTTTGTTATGACGGCACTAGGAAACTGAGACACCAGCAAACCCAGGATAAGAAAGAAGTCTGTCTGGTTCATCAAACTGAAAGGTCACTGAGGCTTGGAAATCTAGGCTGCTGATGAGGATTGAGCTTTTGGCAAATAATTCCCATTCTTCACCCCTCTAATTCTTGCCATTAACCTGGATGACATCAACATCCATGATGGCAACCTATGGCCCTACTCTGCCCTTTTCCTGGGATGATACCTTATTTCTTGGAGTCACTATGTCCTCCCAGAATGCTGTTCATAGTGTTCTGCTACCACAAATACTCAGAAAATATTACCCAGAAAATTTGGCCAAATATCAGTCTTGTTAAGTCTCTAGATGTAAAGCTCTAGGAGAGGTTTTCTGTTTTTCCTGTGGGACCACCATACCTTCACTTTGTCATTCTGAAGAAAGAGAGTCCAGTGATGGCCATCTTGACTGCTGGCAATTAGGAACTCCTTTACATACATGCTGGTAAGGAGAGATTTTGCCCCCTGGGTGGTTATTCCTGTGACTTTCATAGTCTTCTTTAAGTCCACTTGCAGCCACTCTTTTGGATTATTCACCTGAGGAAGTGAGTGTTGGACAAGTATCCTGTGGGTCACAGTTTGTTGACCCCAAATCTCTTCTTCTTAACCAGCATTTTAATGGCCTGTTTATTGGTCAGTCTTCCCTATTAGGCTCTAACCAAGTTGAGGGCAGGAGTTTTGCATGACTCATCTCTGTATCCCCAGGCACAGCCATTCAATACGTGCCCAGTAAATGTTTGCTGATTGACTCTATGAGACGTACAGTATTTCATAAGCTTGGTTTCTCAGTTCCACAAAAGAAAGGGTCAAAGCCACACACAATTGGCTCAGCTCCTCCCAGGACTTATTTTAAACAAAACAGGTGGTATATTACCAAACTTTTTAAACTCTAGTCACTATGAACATAATTAGCTCCATTCATCTCAAAAAGCTGCTCAGTGATTGAATATCACAAACTGAGTTGTATATGGCTTTGACCCTTTCTTTTGTGGAACTGAGAAACCAAGAAAGCAAGCTAACTGCTGATATTTCCCCCATACAACTGGACTTAAGCTACTACAGGTCTTGGACAGCCCTTAACCCAGTAGTGGATATAGAGATTGTGCCTCCAGGAGGGAAGGGACCATGTCCCCAGTGAATATTGTGTGAGATCACACAATACATCGAATAAATGCCCACAGGATTTTCCGCCCAGAGTCAACCTTCCTTGACACCCTTTTTGGAAACAACCAGTTAACAGAAACCTCTCTAAAGAAACAGTCAAGGGTTTTCCCTACTCTGCCCAACCACTACTCCCTACTCTGTGGGTCAGGGAAACAGCCAGTGTGTTGCTTCTTACCTGTGGCCTCCAAGCATTGGTCCTCCCCTGGAGATGAAGTCGGGCTTGTGAAGGAGACCAGGTGGCAAAAGCCTTCGTGAAGTACGATGAAGCAGTGATCTGCGCATCTGATATCACCTTACTCTCCATTCCCAGTGGCATGCGACAACCTCAAAGAAACCAAGGGGGCAGGCACCATCACAAACACATGCTGCAGGGCTACTGGCATCGTGACATCATTTCTCAGGTATTTACTTTTGCACATACTCTGTTCTCTGCTCAGTTCTCTTTGACTTTGATTTGCCTTGTTAATAGTCGTGTAGGAGGTGGCTGCCCCTGGGGGATCCCATGGGTAGGGTGACCAAGTCAGGGGCGTACTCAGAACTTTCCTGGTTCGAGCACTGATAATTCCTCATTCTGGGAAACTCTTCAGTCCTGGGCAAACCGGGACAGAAGGATACACAATGCCTTGGCACTTACTGTTTAAATCACAGCCCATCAACTCCATGCGCAGAGTGCTGCGGATGCTATGGTGCGTTGGGTGTAACCGGATGTACTGAGCGATAATTGGAGGGTCAAAAATATTGTGTTTTATCCCAGATGAATCCACATTACCAAAGAAGACCTACAGAGAGGGATTAAAGAAAAACACAAAAAGGGAAGGCAGAGTGAAAAGCAAGACCTTGCCAATCAGATCCGCTTTCTACTTTCGCTGTGTGCATTTCTCAACAGCCCGTAATACCCAAACCAAACCGCTCTGCCTAGAATGGTCCTAGGATAGTACGCATGAAGGAGCAAAGCACCAAGAAGAGTACAAGGGGCCTTAGGGCTGGGGCAGGGTTAAGTAATTTTCTACTTTGCGTCCTTATAAAAGACTCGTAGAAGTTGAGGAAGCTACTGAGCGTTTTGCTACCCCAATATGCTTCGAAGACTAGCATCACCTGAAATGGTGTAGGAAGTGCCGCGGGCCCCACACCAGGTCTGCTGAGGTAACTGAACTTGCACCGGCCCCCTGATGTTTCATATGCCATTAGAGTCTGAGAAGCATTGGCTTGGAGCAAGAGGAAGCAGTGAAAGGGCGCTAGGAGTTGCAGCCTTTCCTACACACTGCTCTCAGAGTGATCTCCCAAGCAGGTGGCACATATTTGTGCCAGCGTGTGTGAGCAAGTGCAAGTGCACATGCATGTGTCTGAGCTGTGTCGCATGAAGAATTCTTGGCGTATGAATTCTTATTCATAGTATCTAACATCTAGTTGCAGACGTCGACATGCCTCAAATCAGGAGAAAAGTGTATGATACACTCAAGGGAAAGGGAACACAGTTTGAGATGTTGTGTTGTTGTTGGTATATGTCCTGCAGTGGGCCTCGACTCCTAGCGACCCCTCCTTGCCTTTCCGAGGCAGTATCAGTACGGAAGTAGATTGCCCACCCTTCCTTCCAAGGAATGGCTGGTGGATTTGAACCGCCAGCCTTCTGGTTAGCAGTCAAGTGTCTTAGGCACTATGTATGGTAGTAATGCGAATTCAGAAAGCTCAGACACAAACCGCGGCCTATCATACAAGGATATTTGGAAATCAGCTCTCTCAAACAGCACTTGGGATTCTTTATCTGTTCTGGTGGGCGGGGACAGAGGGCGGGGACGGAGGGCGGGGCCCGAGGCGCGCGTAGCCCGAGGGCAATGCCATTGGCTGGCTCTGCCGGGTAGCGCGTGCGCGCGGCCGCCTGGGGCTTCACCCCGCCTAGGGTGGCCCACCGAGAGAGCATGTGTAGCCCGC